GCAAGACTGGTTCTGCAACATCCAGAATGCTGCAAAAGACCAGAGGAAGAGACAGAAAGGGCCTATGCCAAGAAAGGGAGATCTCAATTAAGTTAACTATAACTCAGTGAAGGAAGTAACCCTAACAAGGTAAGGAACAAAAAGAAACATCAACATTAGAGCGCAGAAAAGCAGTTCTACTAATTAACAAAGAGTCAATGCAGCCAAAAAGCACACCAAGCACTCAGAGGACTATTTTTTAATTTAAAAATGTATTTATTTATCCTGTGTATACGGGTGTTCTGTATGCATACATGTCTTCGCGTCACATGTATGCATGGTGCCCAGGGAGGCCAGAAGAGGGTGTTCGATCCCCTGGGACTGGAGGTACAGATGGCTGTGAGCTGTCCGTATGGGTGTTAGGGAGCCAAACCTGGGTTTTCTGGGACAGCTGCCAGGGTGCTCTTTCCTGTAGAGCCATTTCTCCAGAGCTACTATCTAATTTTGATAGTTATCACAGAGGAGTACTTGTAAGAGGAGTAAATATATAATATATAGCATATATATTATATATGTATGTATATATAGCCTATATATTAAATAAGTTTGGGGAATCCAAAGCACGAAAGAACACAAATGTCAGCCGGGCAGTGGTGGCGCACGCCTTTAATCCCAGCACTTGGGAGGCAGAGGCAGGTGGATCTCTGTGAGTTCGAGACCAGCCTGGTCTACAGAGCGAGTTCCAGGACAGGCTCCAAACCTACAAGAGAAACCCTGTCTCAAAAAAAAAAAACAAAAACAAAACAAAAAAACCCACAAATGTGATAGGAAAATTAATTTGAGCCTTTGAAGTAATATGAGCGGCGGGGCTGCGTTCCCAGCACCCCGGCCTCCCGCCTGCTCGGCTAGCTTATGCCCCGAAATAATTACACGGACACTGTATTCTTTTAATCACTGCTTGGCCCATTCTCTTCTAGGCTAATTCTCACATATTAATTTAGCCCATTTCTAATCATCTGTGTATGGCACCCCAAGGTGCGCTTACCAGGAAGATTCTAGCCTATGTCCATCCTGGGTCAGAGCTTCATCCTGGGAGCGGGGCATGGCGTCTCTCTCAGGCGTCTGCTCCGGAGAGCAGAGCTGTGGAGTCTCTGAGCTCACTTCCTCTTCCTCCCAGCATTTTGTTCTGTTTACTCCTCCCACCTATCCTCTAACCAATAAAATGGGCCAGGGCAGTGCCTTTATTAGCCAATGGCCTTCCTCCATCAAGCCTTCAATGCTTTCTCAAAAGCTTTTAGAGGGGCCTAAACAAAGAGAGGGCTCTAGCCTCCCCCAACACCACTCCCGCTCTCACTCCGTTTCCGGAACCTTCCACACTTAATGACTCCACAGAAACCTCGTGATTGCTTGGCCCATCTCAATGCTCTTTCCTCCACCCCAACCTCTTTTCATTCTCCAAGTTTTCATTCAGAAGCTACCTACTCAGAGGCGCTTTCTCTTGCTACGCTCCCCGAAGCACCGTCCGTCCCACCTACTCAGAGGCGCTTTCTCTTGCTACGCTCCTCGAAGCACCGTCCATCCCTTCTCCACCACAATTCCTGGCATCACCCTCTCTGTTTCCTTTAGAATGGAAAGCTATCTGTAACTGTCAGCGCATACAGGAAGGGAATGACTTTCCCTCCGCCATGTCGTCTGCATTTAGGCCAGAGCTTGGCCTTTATTTCAAATAACAGACGTAATAGATGGAAATCAGTGGTTGTTTAGTAGAATACTAGATTCCAGCATATGAGAAGTAAGGATTGGCCATGATGAAGACAAGGCCCAGGGTGAGGAACTGTCGCGATCTGTTGAAAGGAATTGAAGAGGTTCAAGGGAACTAGGACTGTAACTTGGGGTCGTTCTTCACATTTTGTTCAGTCTTAAGACAGATTTTCACTATACTGCCCAGGCTATGTCTGAAATTCAAATCCTGACGTCTTAGTCTCTGAATGCAGGAACAACAGTGTGTGCCATCAAACCAGGAGGGCAATATACATTTTTATTGAAGTCATAAGCTACAATATATCATAATCTAAGGACTATGCATAACCCATCTTTCCAATTTCCTTAGAAACCTACATTTTAATAAAACTTTTTTTTTAAATCTCTTTAAGGGTTGGCAAAATGGTTCCTCTGGTAAAGGTGTTTGCTGCCTAAGCCTGGTGAACTGAGTTTATCCTTCAGAACCCACATGACAATAACTCCACTAAGTTATCCTCTGACCTGCATGTGACCATTGTGACAACTCCCTGTAATAACTGTCCTGGTTTGCTTTAGATTGCTCTCACAAATACTATGTGTGGCGGTTTGGAAATCAGCCCCCATAGGCTCATGGATTTGATTGCTTGGTTCCCAGGCAGAGGAATTGTTTGGGAAGGTTTAGGAGGTGTGGCCTTGACAGAGGAGGTGTGCCACTGAAAGGAGGTGAAGATTACCAAAGCCCACACAGTTCCCAGCTAGGCCCCCTCTCTGCCTCATGCCTGTGGATCAGTGGTGAGCTCAGCACCATACCCACCTGCCTGCTGCCGTGCTCCCTGTCGTAATGGCCATGACTAACCCTCTGGGACTGTGAGCCCCAGATTCAATGTTTTCTTCCATACATTGACCTGATCATAGCATCTCTCCCCAGAAATAGAAGGTTAAGACAATACAACTACAGGCAACTTGGGAAGGAAAGGGTCTATTTCATCTTACAGCTTATAGTCAGCCCATCATGGAGGGAGGATCAGGCAGGAACTCAAGGCAAGAACTGAAGCAGAGACCATGAAGGAATGTTGCTTGCTGGCTTGCTCCCCATGGCTTGCTCAGCCTGCTTTCTTATAGAACCCAGGGCCACCAGCCCAGGGGTGGCACCACCCACAGTGGGTTGAGCCCTTTCACAACCACCACAAATCAAGAAACATGGGCACAGGCCAATCCAATAGAAGCAATTCCTCAACTGAGCGTCCTTCTTCCTGGGCGATTCTAGTTTGCGTCAAGTTGACAGAGAAAGGACAAACAAACAATAACCAGGATAATAAATAAAAATTTAAATTAAAAGGTATTTGAGACTCCCAGTCCCTTACCCCTCCTTCTGATGCTATTCCATTCATCCACTTTTAAACTCACTATGTAGGCAAATAAGGCCTACATTTCTGATCCTTCTGCCTGCGCCTCCTGATACCGAGAGCGCAGTCCTGGCCGCTGTTTCTGGAGTACAGGGATTGGACTCAGGGCTTGTGCGTGTTACACAGGCACTCTACAAACAAAGAGATAGCCCCACCACCGTGTATCCAGTTCCTCTGACTGTCGTCACCATAGCAATGAGTCTCCTTTTCCTCTGCGGTGATTCTTAAGCTCATGTCTAGGAATCAGCTCAAAACAGTTCTAATCTGAACGTATTCCTGCATCCATCCACCCTTCTGATCCAGGAGGACTATGGTGAAGACTCAAAACCTACATTTTTTGAGATTTATTTTTTGTGTGTGTGCATGAGTACGTGCACATGAGTGTAAATGACCTCAGAGGCCGGGTCTCCTGGAGCTCCATGGAGTTACTGGTGACTGTGAGCTGCCTGCCGCGGGCACGGAACTGAACTCAGGTTCCTCTGCGAGAATAGTGCGCATTTCTGACTGCTCAGCCTTCTCCCCAGGGCTCCCACATCAACGCTTTACCAAGCACGGCTTGGATACAGATGAACGAAAAACTAAAACACAAACCATGACCTAGGGAGAGTTCTATTAATAATACCAGGCCTCTTTGCTCATTTCTGTGGTTTTATAATTATCCAATCAGCAAATAATAAGATCAGTTATTTTATGCAAAGGAAAGTTTTACATTGAAAAAAGGAATTTGCCATGTTCAAAACAATATTAGAAATCACTATCCTGGGAAATAAAGCCCAAATTCCTTAAGATCATATACAATAAACTCAGCCCATGGTCTGATTTCAAGGCGAATCTCTCTTACACACCTCTGCGGTTTTTAACTGAGTATTATACATTAGAATCTCTCCTTTTATTAGTCTTTGATATGCTCTCAATGTATAACAATGCTCTAAAAGTGTGCTAAATTAGCAGTCTCTTGGAGATCAAATAATTATTGTACAGAGATGGAGTTCATCCTTTATATGTACCATCTGTTTCTGGATTTTTGTTGTTGTTTGGGTTTTTTGAGACAGATTTTTGGTTTTTCGTTTGTTTTTTGTCTCTCTGTGTGTAGCCCTGGTTGCCCTGGCACTCCCTTTGTAGACCTGGTTGGCCTCGAACTCAGAGATCTGCCTGCCTCTGCCTTCGAGTGCTGGGATTAAAGGCGTGTGCTGCCACCACCACCCGTGTTTCTGGATAATTCAACTCCACTATTTCTTCATAAAGTAATGCCACAGAGGATGAAATTTTTCCTAATAGTCCTCTAACGACCTTTATATAGAACGAATTGCAACTTGGTTCTCCCTTGTCATTTATGCCTCTATAAAGTATTAGTTACCACTAAACACTGGAGACTTGATGAAGAATTAGTCCTCCAGGGTCATAATATAAGACTTTGGTACACACCAGCATCTCACCCCTTAAGTATATAAGACCGGGGGGAAGGAAGGAGGGCGTTGCCAAGAATTTGAAATGGACCTGGGCTTCATAGCAAGTTGCTAAGAATTTGAAATGGACCTGGGCTTCATAGCAAGTACCGGGTCAGCCAGAGTTTACGCAGAAAAGCAAAACAAAACAAAGACGCGCCATAACAAAATAAATAAATCATAAAAATAAAGCGTCTTGGGTTTAGCGCCTATCCTGATAAATGACAACCCAGCCATGGCATTGCCTGCAGTGAACAGGCAGTGATGGTCCTTTGCCCTGTTGGCATGAGCTCCTATTCGATAAAAAACGACGCTGCAGTAGCTAAATCGCCTAAGGTGTCTAGCGAGGGAGGTCTCGGGAGGGCGAGCCCCGAGGGCACCGCGGGTCTCCCATCCTCAGCGCCCCCACCCCTCCACTCGGGCCACTCACGTTCAGCAGTCCTGCGCCCTTGCTCTTGCCTTTGCTCTTGCCCTTTTTCTCCTTGTCCTTCTCTTTGTCCGAGGCCACTTGCTTGGCTTGTTCGTCGGCATAGCGCACGGAGGAGACGGTGGATCCTCTGCGCTGCTGCGCGGTGGCATCCGGAAGGAGGAGGGCGTTCTTCTGGGGCATGGAACTGGGCAGCATGGACCCGCCTGGCACACTGCTCGGGATGGAAGACTTGCGGGCATCAGGCAAGGCGTGGGGCTTCGGGGAGCCAATGGAGGAGACCATAGACGAGCGGGCGGGCATCATGCTATGGGCGGTGGAAAACCTGTGGGGTGTCTCTTGAGGGTTACTGATGGAAACCCTCCGGTTTCCCGGAGGAGGCAACTCCATTGTTACATTCTCTTCAGGGCCCTATTAGCCACTAACCCAACCGCTGTTTGCTGCGCACGCATGCGCGCGCGCGCGCGCGCGCGCAGCTGCCTTTCCCGCGCTTTTACGGACCACGTGCAGAACGCCGGGGCTGCAGGGCAGGGAGGTCTCCTGGGTTTGGAGGTGTGGATTTTGCAAGCTGGACCATCTGCTCTGGTTCTCATCAGGCAGTTCCTGTTTCCTCCGGAAGTCAGAGCTTGCTGGTGGGCAACCTCCTCCAACTAATGTATTATTTTTCTAAATAGTACTTTTGTCTTAGGAGCCCGCCTCTCTCCACACCATTTCTTTTAGACTATTAATATCAGATATCACGTTCTGTGCACCAAATGCATATTTCCAGCATCCTACCTGAACACATTTATCTGACCATTCCGCAAACACGGAGCACAGTCGTATACGTTTACCTTACCTCCTGAGCTCTAGTACGCTCCAAATTCATTTGAGGTAATAAGGCCACATTCACAAAAATCTGACCCTTAAAACAATTGTATCCTTGATACAAGAACCCTACTTCCTTTACTGTTCCTATTCTGGGACATCTCTTGTACAGAAAAGTACAATGATTTACTCTATGGTTTCCCAGCCTGACTCATCAATTCCTTCTGCTGCCTCAGAATCAGAATAATTTAACCATCGTACACAAAGCAAGCCAAGAAGTTTCCAGAACTTTATTGGCCATTTAACATTTAAAGATATCTTTTAAAGGTGGCTCTAAGGCACATGGGATGTTTGTTTTGTTTGTTTTTGCTTTGCTTTTCAATACAGGGTTTCTCTGTGTGACCTTGGCTATCGAAGAACCTGCTCTGTAGTCCAGGCTGGCCTTGAACTCAGAGATCTGCCTGCCTGGAATCGAAGGTGTGCGCCCCTGTTGGCCAGCTGCACATTGGGCTTTTAAAAATATAAAGCATTTTAAATATTAAATTTTAAATAATAAAAATTTTAAATAAAACATGTTAAATGTTTAAATATCTCAGAGTCATTATTTATTGCTATAATATTGGAAATGTAGTCTTTTAGGCAAGAGGGAGCTCAAAAGTCACCGTTAGGGAATCTCTACCACTAAAAACTCCATTTTGCACAGCACCTGCTCGCATCCAGTCTCACCTAGAGCCTTTTCTAGATTCTTCACTCCTATCTCTAAGTAGATGAAGACCCTCCAGACAGCAGACAGTATGTTTGCCCTGGGCTCTCATACACGTCCCAAAGGACAATCAGCTGCTGTCTCCCACCTGCTGCCTGGCAGGGCCCTCAAGGCAGGCTCCCACCAGCAGCTGCCATCTCCAAAGGCAGAACTGGTTAGGAACAAGAACTCGGTCCCTGCCTTTCCCTTTCAGGCTGCATGGCACAAAACCCCAAGCCCCTTAATTCCTAAGTGATGCCCGTGTGGGTCTCTGCTGCAGTGTTTAATCTCCACTCCTGCGTGACGTGTCTTTGCAGCTCATTCTGACTTCATAAGGGCTCACGTAATGCAGCACTAAGTATACCTAGCACCATAGATAATGTGATCTTGGGGCTTTTGTTTTGTTTCTCGATGAGAGATGGTTTTATTTGTACTCTTACTACTGGGTGGTGGTGACACACACCTTTAATACATTAACAGCACTCGGGAGACAGAGGCAGCCGGCTGTAAAATGGAGCCAATGTCCAGCTGGCCAATGGGGGCACACCTTCCATTCCAGGCAGGCGGATCTCTGAGTTCAAGACCGGCCTGGTCTACAGAACAAGTTCCTGGACAACCAAGGGATCACAGTTCAGACGTGATGAATCTCAGCTCAACTTCCCGGCAGCTGCTGCAGAGCAGAGGCCTACACTCCTGGCTGCTGCCAATCACAGGGACAACTAAGACGGACAGGACAGTCAGCACTGCCTGTAGAGTCACAATAGAGTCCCACTGTTCTGCCACTCTGGCCTTACAGACAGGAAGAGACATTTTTAGTGGGGTGCTTGTACCAAATACAGACCAGTCCTCGGGGACAAACACCTCAATTATCAGTCTGCTGATCATCTTCTATACAACGTTCAGTCGTGTGCTAATCAGAGAGGTCCGACAGTTCCAGAGACATGTCCAAGCCTTTGAGACACTTTCTCTTTTTTAATTTTTATTTATTTATCATGTTTACCTGCCTGTATGTACGCCTGCAGACAAGAAGAGGGCGCCAGATCTCATTACAGATAGGTGAGAGCCACCATGTAGTGGCTGGGAATTGAACTCAGGACCTCTGGAAGAGCAGCCAGTGCTCTTAACCATGGAGCCATCTCTCCAGCCCCCACTTTCTCTTCTTAAGGTCTCCCCATTGACGTACGTTATAGGGGCTCACAGGCAACAGCTGAAGAAAGATTTGAAGTGTGTGAAAACAGCCTTTTCCATGTGGAATTTCCCAAAAACCTGAAGATATCTGACAGAGAGTTTGAGAATGAGAATGGTGAACTTTCGCCCGTGTTTCTTGTGGCTCAGAAAAAGAACCAGGACCCTGCCACCTCAGCATTCAAGAGGTTGGGGAAGCAGGATCAGGAGTTTGAGGTCAGTCCGGGATACACAGCGAGACCCTTTCTCATCAAACAAACAGAAACACCATGGGGCTAAAGATGCGAACCAGTGGCAGAGCACCTGCCTACCAGAATGAGACTCTGGGTTTGCTATCCGCCAACTGTAAAAAGGCGGGAGAGGGTGGGGGGGAGAGGACCGGGGGATGGGGGGGGGGCAGGGGAAGACACTCCACAGGGGTTAGCCCAAAATCACAGGGCTGAGCTGAGTCATGGCTCGGCTTCTCTTTTGCTATGTTCGAGTTTATCGCTGCTGCTTTTGGTTTCTGAAAAGGGCTCTAGTGTAGCCCAGGCTGGACTCAGACTTGCTAACAGTGGACGGTGGCCCTGGCCTCCTGATTCTCCTGCCTTCACTTCCAGCCACACAATACTACTCCCAGCCCTTATAGCTATTCTTCCAAAGCTCCTACAGATCCTGACATGCAGCCGCACAAGAGAACAACTGCCACAGATTTTATTTTATTTTAGTTTAGTTTAGTTTTTCGAGACAGGGTTTCTCTGTGGCTGTGGAGCCTATCCTGGAACTAGCTCTGTAGACCAGGCTGGTCTCGAACTCACAGAGATCCGCCTGCCTCTGCCTCCCGAGTGCTGGGATTAAAGGCGTGCGCCACCACCGCCCGGCCTGGCACAGGTTTTAAAAGAGAAAAATAAAACTTTTAAAAAGCTTTTCAAACAGAAATATATCTGTTTTATTAGCCATAAAGAAAAATATCTTTCAATTCAAATTATAATTATTACATGATACGCAGATTCAGAAAACACAGATTTTATACTGTAGTGTGTTCAATAAGGAGACTAAAAAATACAAAATGAAGGTGTTTCCCCTTCCACCCTATTCTCTACATTTACATTGAAACGTGATGTATATTTTGTAACACTGAAGTTATGGCTTTTCTAAATTGGTGCTTTTTATTATGATTATTAATATAGCAAATTTGAGAGAACAGGATCAAACACTTCCCCCTGCTTTTTTAGCCCATTATCTCCTGTATCGCTAAGGTGGCAGACAATACTATAGAAATTAATGCTGGGTATAAAGACCAGGTACGATTTAAATGTTTTTCATAATCTTCACAAGTCTTTCAGCATCATATAACAAAAGCTCAATTGCACACACACACACACGCACGCACACATCTTATAAAAACAAGAGCGAGGAAGTGCGTTCTTTGCTGCAGAGACGGTGTTGGCACTATGAAGACGCCTGGATTCCCCTATCAGGGTACTCTTCCACGTCAGAGAAGAACATCAGCTCTGGAGAAGAAAATGAACATACCACACTTTAAACACTTTCCCAGTCTTCAAAAAAGAGTCTTGCGGCTTAATAAATACTGATTTGTGCGTGGTAACGCAGAGTCCTCATGTATGAATTCTTTAGGGAGGCTTCTCTTATCTAAATGCTAAGCTGGCAGCAAGTGGACACGTTTTATATTTTTAGAAGTTCAAGTTTTAAATTCATTATAAACATCTTAAAAATATAATACAATATAGACAACGAAACACATCTTACCAAGAAAATTAAGTCACCTAGGCAGTCCAGGATCACTGAAGATGATCTAAGTCTATCAGGTAATTTAAGACGCAGGGGAGGAGGATTCAGAGCTAATGTTGGGTGTCTACTAAAATACCTCGAATATGTGATCCCATTTCATCTCCAAGAGACTCAATAAGCTGGGTATTCCCCTCATTTTGTTTTTGCTTTTTAAGTTTACCATCCTTCAAAGACAGCAGCCTCTAAAATTCTTGCTGTGCACCATGCACACTGTAACCGAGACAGAACCTGCACAAGCCGGCCAGATGCGGCATCAGTCTCAGCAACACCGGAGCGCAGGGAGTTCGCATTTTCATGACTGAACTAGTGAACAGTGTTTCACACAGAAACATATTATTAAAATGTCAAGAAATAGAGAAAAATTAAACCTTGAAATACAAAAATAAAACTCCTTTGACATAAACCATTAGATACAAAAATTCTTCGAATGAACAAAAAACATACCTCGTGAGAAAAAAAAAACAGCAAAGTACACTGAGTGCAATGTCATTGTGTATCAACACGTGTGTAGTGTACACATGTTCACGAGTGTGTGCATGTTGAGGTGCACACACATGCAGAAGCTGGCAGAGGATGTCAGCATCTTCCCCTGCTGCTCTCCCCTCACTGGAGCTCATCAGTTTGGTTAGGTGGCAGACATGAGGTAACCACGGTGCTCACGTACGAACGGATGGCAATGGGGAGGCCCTGTCAAGCAGCACAGTGTCCAGCAAAGCGCCAAGTGTTCCTGGAGCTTTTGCTGACGATCAGCTGTCTGCTAAGGGGAGCTCCCCTGTGGGTGTTCCGAAAAGAGTCACGGGTCTAGAGATTGGTGACTTCACTGGGCACTGGGCACACTGAGGGTAAAATAAGAACGAAACAAGAC